AGGCTAAAAAAGGTGAAAGAAGTGCAATTACGGGAGGTTTTCAGCACAGAAAGTTAATTAGCTACTAAATAGCATTTAGTGCAGTTCAACGTGGGGAAATTTATGTTTTGAAAGCAAACAGATCAATGGAAAGCCTGTGGAACAAGCTTTTGGAAAGTCCATGTTGACATTCGTGTACTTTGTACTGTAACGTCCTGGGCAGTTGTTCACAGGTTTCCCTAACAAATAGGAAGAATTGTTAGTTTTGTTTCCACGCGTGTTTGCAGACGTATGGATACGCTTCCACATGAGGATGTTTTGACATTTAATTTCAGAAATTCCAGTTAGGCTTTCATCCAGGCTATCTAACACCTTTTTCCCTGTTCACCGAGGTCAGTGTAAATCGATTCTGTTCGGGCTCTCTGAGGCAAAGGAACTTCAAGTTCCAAATATTTTCAGCCAAAGGGTGAATTTAACACAATTCTTAACCTAGTTACTCGTCTGTGCCAATCAGATGCGAGTAGCCGGTGCGACTGCAGCGTTTCACTGTCAGCGTCTGGCTCTGCATGGCCACGCTCCTCTGGAAGCTGGTGCCATCCCGCGATGTCCTTCCAGTCCTTCCACTCCTTCTCTGCAGCACAACTCGGAACGACCAGAAATATTTCGACAATTTTTTTTTTTTGATCCCAAATTACCAATCTGTTTTCTTTTGCACGTCTTTTATATGTCGCTGAAGGCAGCATGTTTCACAACTCATTATATATGTGTATTGTCAAGGACATTTTTTTTTCATCAGAACAATAGATTTGGGTTCCAGCTGCCCGATATTACCTCACTTTGTACAGTCTCTCCACTAAATTTTTAGGTGTTTCAGGATAGCTTTGAACTTTTATTGATGGATTATTTATTTGAAGCTATCTGTCTTAGACATTTTAGGCAGCTGATGCTGCCATGAGCTGTTTCACCTTGCTGGAAAGAAGAGGAACCTAGAAGGTCAGTGCCTGTGGGGAATAGTGGAGAAACAGAGAAATGCTAACCCCTGGGGAGGAAAAAGGGCATGTAATTCCCATTACATGGATGCTCATACATTATGATGATACTTATTGTCTGTAAATGATGCTTCACAAGCCAGCGTGCAGGAATAGCTCGGGCTGCAAAGAAGGCTGTTATTAGCGAAGGCATGCTTTGGTACAATGGTGATGGAGAGCCAACCGAGGAGGGTTTGCCTCTTGCAGGAGGCTCTCTGGGAACCGGGTGGTGCACGCTGACAGCTTAGGTAACTGCCACATCATGGCTATAATCTTCAGCCCCTTTCCCTCTTATAATTACATTTGTCACATGATGTCGTAAAATGAGTTATTAGATCTTTGTTGCTGAAATAGTCTTCCCATGTAATTGGTGCAGGTCTCTGCCCTGGCTCTATAACAGAAATAATAATTGGTTTTATCTCTCTTTATGCTGTAGGTGTGTACAAATGCTTTGACCGAACAGTAAGTCAGGTCCCATTACTACATTACTGCACGTCAAAAGTCTCACTTGCCGAGTGTGGCTGACCTCTGCGGATCGGACGTGCGAGAGAGTTCCCGTGTGGTGGGAGGAGGTCGGTGGCTGCCTTATGCAAGCCCTTGCTCTCTTAGGGGCTCCAAAAGCTCGAGGAATGTAGATACGGTTGACTGCTGGAGTTGATTGTTGAGTGAAGAAAATGCATCACCACCTGGTCTTGCTCACCAGCAAGAATGAGATGTATTTTGAGACAAAAGAGTAATGGGACTTCAGTAAGGGGAAAAGGCTTACGTGGAATCATGAATGTGTCCGTGGGTTTCCTGCCTCAGGTTTTGCTACTCCTCATTTTTTTTTCCCCTGTCCCTTTTATTCCCGTGGACCATTGCACGTGCCCTCTTGTTTTGCTGAGCAGTGCTGTATATTAGCTGGTGCTCTGTTTCTCCTGGATCCCACAACCTGAAGTCTCTCTGGAATGTTCCTCCAGCTATTTGCCTTGCAGTGCTTCAGCTCCCTGCTTTTGCAGGGTACTGTGATATAAATCCGTCATCTAACAGGTATAATAGTCTGACAAATAATAAATTGGAGAATTCTTCCCTTGCATCTGTGTATCTTGTGTGCCTAGTTAGAGGACTCCCCAAAATCCATGAAATGAGCACTGATAATACTACCTGTTGTTACTTTAGTACAGGATGATATCAATATTAAAAATATTTTTAAAAGTAGTCCAACAGATTAGAATAATTTCAATTTTTTTCCATCAATATATACAGGAAAAAGTAATTTTAAACACAGTGAGAGTTTTTTCTTAATTTCCACAGTGACTAAGTATGCACCAGTGTATGAGGTGGTACTCTCTCTGCATCTGTACTACGTATGAATGTACGTGTTTATCGACCTCTCCAAAGGGCATGGGGTGCACAGATGTCTCTCTCAGATTTCATCTTCTACATCAGTGAAAACATTGGCGTTTCCCTGGGCTGGACGCTCTGAGGCACTGTGCTTACACTCACTGGCCTTTTCCTGTCCAGAAAGGGTAAATCCACTTACACGCGTTGCTTCGGATTGCTTCTGTGTATGTTGGATGCATGTACAAGCTTGTAACTAGTGGCTAAATGTGAACGGTAAACACTTGTCTTGAAGAAGCATTTCTAGAAAATATAACATTGCCAGCACCTTTGTGACTGGGCTCTCCAGCGTCTGAGTTTTCGGGTAGCTACTTGTGTATCTGAAGCAGATTTTGGTTACGTAGCAAGTAACTGCAGTTGGCAATAGCATTCTGTACTGAGGAGCTACACAATTCCCCGGGATGAAAGCGACCCTGCCCAGCCCTACTGGTAAGTGTTGTTTCTTGGCAGTCGTCTCTCTGCCGCTGGTCGTTTGAGCATCATCGTGTTCTTGAAGAACGGCACGTCGGCCTCTGTGACGAGGGAACCGCAGGGACGATGATCCTCACAGCCAACGCGTCTTCCAGCTCTTTGTCGTACTGACCAGTTCATCTTTGCAAGAGTTTTAGAAAATTGGTTGCCTCTGCTTAGTCTTTGAGCTAGTTTGAGTCATCTCTTCCAGGAAAATCCTGTGTAACCAGCTGTGGCTGTTACGAAGTGTTGCTCCATAAATACCAGCTGCTTATAGGAAGCAGTCCAGCACAAGTGTCTGGTACCAGGACTCCTATTACTTCTGCGTTAACAAGAGATACTGAATGTTGTAGGAAAGCGTTGTTATATTTTGCAGCTTTATCAGAAAGTAACGCTTGATTTTTCACCAAGGCCAGTACAATTTTCATGGAAAAAATTCCCAAGGTGCAGGTGATGGTGTATAGCTGCGCTTGTGAGACTGGAAGTATCATCCCAGTGTCTACCCTAGACAAACTGCTGTCGTTCCTCTCTGAGTGAGTTTGGATATGTCCTGTGATCCCTGCTCACATGGCGATATTGCCGTGTCAGTTCTAAGACCTCAACCTCCAAATGGCTTGAATGTAAGTTTTGCTTTGATGCTTTCTTTCAGAAAAATGGAGCAGCAGAACTTCACGAACAGAGTAGCGAAGCCGCTCTTTTAGCTGAAAGTAAAACAGACTTCATCTCATCTGCATAATGCTGCAGAACTAGAGAAGGGGGCTCAGGGATTTATTTCCCATGCGTGTGGGCGCTAAGGTTTTGAGTCATACATTTGAACTGGGGGGCTCGCAGGGGCTTGGTTAAAAATTTAACCCACAACTAACTGGGATGTCCGGAGACCTGTCCATTGGAATGCAATGACCTGAACCATGGGTAGATGCTGCAAATAGGGCTCGTCCCTGTGGAAGAGGCACTGTAGCCAGGCTTGGAAAGCATACTGATGTGGTGTGCTGCAGATGCATGCTGAGTGTGTGATTTTCAGCGTTCAGTGCCTACATTGTTAGATAAGCGGATTAGAAAACATTGCATAAAGTGGCATTGCAGGGGGCTGTCTTTATACCTGCTACTTGCCTTGTTTTGCAAACCCTGATTTCACAGCGGAACCCATTCAGAGCTTGCGCTGAGATTGTTCACATGTATTGGCCTTTTTAAGAATCAAGGGGTCACAGTTTCAGATTCACTTAATTCTCAAAGTAGTGATATTTTTCTTTTGGGATCAGGGCTGGTGGCGGGCATGTGGGTTTTTTTAATCTAAACTCAGTTTACTCTTAAAGATAAATATCTGGGGAGCAGTGAGCTCCTAGCATACTGGAAAACAGTTGGGTTCACTTTCTCTACTTTGTGGTGGGTTAAAGAGCTCGTGTGTAATTTCCCGCCCCTTAACTCTCCAAAGTTTCAAGTTTGCAAGCGGAAACCATTTGTCTGAAGTTTATAAACATGAATCCAGGCTTGTCAGGTCCACTTGCAAAGGCGTAATGAGAAACTCGAGTTCAGGGGAAATATCTTTGGATCTTACTGGTCACTGAGGGAATTTGCCAGATGAGATCCCTAGTCAATGCTGCCGTCTGAAGGCGCGCCGCTTCTGCAGTCATGTTTTTTCAATGGCCCAACGTTTTCCATCCCAAGGGGTCATCGATCCCAGAGGCACGGTGGTTTGAAGAGGTCCTGCAGCTTAGGGCTCTGCGGTGTGGGCTGGAGGGCCGGCAAGTGCCTGCTGGACTGGCGGGATCCCCAAACTGGTCTTTGTGCTGTGATGAGGGAGCAGGGGACGGGCCGTTCCTCGGAGCAGTCTGGGCTGTTCCCACTCTGGGCTTCTTAATTTTGCCTGCTCGAAAGCCAGTGGTCTGAGGAATGGTTTTCGCTCTCCCCGGTTCTGCGTGGAATTCAGGAACACACCAAAAATAGGATCGTTTTTTGGGATGGTAGGGAATTAATTTAAATAAAAATAATTTAATCTCCTATGTGGGCTGTCAGTTATTGACTCCTTAGACCTGCACTGAATTCCAATTTCAGAGCTCTGTCAAAGGATATTTAACTTGGAGCATTTGTGGTTATTGCACGTAACTGCAGTCGTCTTTGCCTGATGTCTTGCGGGGCTTTCTTCCCCCACGCTCTTGTCTGCAGGGACACGTGTGACAATCGCATGACCTGCTCCACCAGCTCTGCCTCCAGCCTCGACACCAGTGCCCAGTTCCAGGAGAATAATGGGCAAATGCAGAGCACCAGATGGGACGAACAGCAGAAAGTGTTTGCCCTAGAGCAGGTCTGTGGCGTCTTTAGAGTGGACCTGGGACAAATGAGATCCCTTCGCCTCTTCTTTAGGTAACGTATTATTGTGTGTGATATTTGTGTGTGCTCTGGATCGGTGCGCACCGGGCTCTGGAGACAGATGGTTTCTGCAGTCCTCCTTGGAAGTCTTTCTCTAACGGTTGTCTCCAGGAAAGCAAGTGTCAGCCTTCCCCAGGAGAGCCTCTGAATTACAGTTAAAGGATTTTTTTCGCTAGCAAGGTAAAGGTTGCTCTTAGCTATCTTACCAAAAATGTTTAAAATAACCTGGAGGTGTGGAAAATGTCTATCTATGGTACCTTCTCCCTTGCCTGCCCTTCACCGGGGCTCCTCTAGGGTCTTGCTGCTCTTAGCCTCTTCAGTTATCTTTCAAATTATTACAAAAATTATTAAAAACATTTTTACTCTCTCTTTTTGCTCTCACTCCCTGCTTCTTTAGACAATGCTGTGTGCGACCAAGTCAGCTCATCGCTAGGAGCTGACTTTGTGTACTGCCTTAGTACACTGCCTTAGTTGCTGGGGCAGACTTCTCGGGGTTTTGTTCTCCAGGGAAGACAAAACTTAATTCCTTCACATGGTGGAAGGGTAAAAGAGTGCCATTACCAGGCATGAGCGGAGCTTCTTGGGGAAAATAGTCACTATGGCCATGTCGTAGAATCATAGAATATCTCAAGTTGGAAGGGGCTCATAAGGATCATCGAGTCCCAGAGCTGTAAAATTACTTCTGCGCCCTGTTTTAAGGGCCAACTTGATGCTACACTTCTTTGTAATTTGCTTTCCACTCTCTCTCGTCTGATGTTCCCCCTTCCTGCTGGGCCCCTCGTTATCCTGGGCAATAAATGCAGGTTGTTCTCCCCCGTTGTTTTATCCCACAGCGATGAGGCATGCACCTGTGGACAACTGGTTGTTGCGAGCAGGGAGAGCCAGTACAAGATCTTCCATTTTCACCATGGTGGCCTGGATAAACTGTCCGAGGTGTTTCAGCAATGGAAGTACTGCACAGAGACCCATCTCAAGGACCAGGTACCTGAGCAAGGCTCGTGGGGCAAAGAGGGGTTTTCCAGCAGATGTTTGACACTTAGGTTTTTAGCCGGGGGATTGTGTTGGAGAAATGAAGCTACGAGTTCATGTCACCAAGTCAGGCAGAAAGCTACAACATGTTGGATGTTGTTTAGGATGCAGTTGTGAGTCGGACGCGAGGTCTCTGTTGCACTTGCTTATCCCCATCATTCCTGTTCTGCCTGTGGAATATGGGGGAAGAGAATCCAGAAGACTCGCCTAGGTATTTTGCTAGACCCGACAGGTCAGCACTATGCTTTAGGCATGTAAGGTGGCCGGGAAATCTGCAGTGGTAGGTCTGAAATTCTGTCAGAGTCTTTCATCCATTTTGTGAAGCGTAGCACACTGCATTGGAAAATGTTTTGACAAGGCATCTTGCCATATTTTGTTCAATCTACATACAAATGTGATAAGAGCTCTTTAATTATCTGTTTAAGATACTGTATGTGCTTATTAGAAACAGTGATTTTTAAATTTCCATCCTTCCCACAGAGCCCCCTGCTGCTTTTCTTATTATGGTCGCATGGGCTCACTTTTTGCATTGAACAACCTTTGATTTTTAAATTAAATGTCAGCTGCAGTCTTGCACTGGGATCATGAGTGCCCTTAGAGAGCCTGGCAGTGCAGTTCCCTGCTTGCCTAACAGCAATCCCTTTGTATATGGCCAATCATATGTAATTTATTGCAGGCATTTTTTATTCCTGGCAGGGTGAAGTTTTGCTGTAAGCAGCATTAATTCAGTTTCAGGTCAGGGATAAGATTGGGGGAGGAATGGAAACAATTTTTTTTTTTTAAGTCGAAGCTGTTTTGTGGTACTCAGATTTTTAATTATTCTAATCACTCTTGCTATTGTAATGGTTGGAATTTAAAAAAAAAACAACTTCCCCAAGTGCAGCGCTTTAGTGCTTAATCCTACACGAACCATGCAAAAAGGTTTTCCTGCTCTGAAAACTGCTGGGTTTCATACTCTGCTGCTATCTCTGGCTCCTACCTCCAGTTTCTTGTTTTGTTTTCCCCTGTTCAGCAGCTTACTGATGAGAAAACCTGTATGCAGTTCTCTATCCGCCGTCCAAAGCTGCCCTCCTCGGAAACCCACCCGGAGGAGAACACGTACAAGCGCCTTGATGTGTCTGCCTGGCTCCATCACCTGAATGAATCCGGACAGGTGGAAGAGGAGTACAAGCTGCAGAAGGTGAGAGGGCTGGCTGCTGCGGTTTTGATCCTTTCTCTCCTGCCGCACAGTGCGAGTCCCCAGGTGGAAGCTGCAAGAGTTTGCTTTCATGCTGGGGACAAGGACTGGGCATTTGAGAGTATAAAGATTGGAGTATAGTGCTTGGCTGGAGGTCTTGCTGGGACTGCAGATGAGTCTGCTACAGGCAGGATGGTAGAGCATCCCTCTGACCGAGGAGGGCGAGCTGTCCGGCTTCTGCTGCCGGTTGGAATTAGTAAACCAAAGTGTCCAGTGCTAGACGTGTTTGCAAAATGCAGTGTGAATAAATCAAAGAAAGAAAAATTGAGATTACTGTATGAAATAATGCAGGGCTTGTGGGGAACCACTGGGTCCAGGTCCTGAGAGAGAAGTTTGCAGTGAAATGCAGTGTCTCCAAGATTGGGGATTAAGCCGTGACATGAGAACGACACGTTAATCATAGAGCCTCTCCAGGGGGGGTTATTGACATTGAAATGAGCCCGATTTGTGTCTTGTCTGGGAATAGAAGGCCAGCACTTTCCCTCTAAACATGTGCAAATTGCAGGAGCTTGAATCAAGGCTTCACTTGTCAGGAAAGAACTGCAAAGCCACCAAAGCATAGTAGCGGGCAGTTTCTTGTTGCTGTTTTTGGGAATGTTAAAACTGTACCAGTCATAACTTTTGCTCCTTCTTCCAGGCCATTTTCTTTGGTGGGATTGATATTTCCATCCGTGGGGAGGTGTGGCCCTTTCTGCTGCACTACTACAGCTACGAGTCCACCTCTGAAGAGAGGGAGGCACTGAGACTGCAGAAGAGGAAAGAGTACTTTGAGATCCAGGAAAAAAGGTAACAGACCAGCTTCATCCTCTGCTGCTCATATCTCCTGAGGCCTGACGTTGCAGTAATACCGCTGGCGATGTACGGAGTCTCTGCCTCCTTCGCTTCAGGAGAAGCAGATTGGAGTAGAGAAGCGAGAGGGATGGTAAAGGTGGTGTATCAAGAGGCACAGCTGACTTCTTGAGGCTCTGGAGCTAATACCATATAGCTCAAATATTGTCTTACTTGGGGTCTTGAAACGGGCTCGTCAGTACCACGCAGGGAAGCTCACCTCACAGGCAAGACTGCAAGCTTAGCATGCTTGGTTTAGAACACTGAAGGTGAAAATGGGACCTTATATTTCTTTATAAATATATCTGGTTGTAAAAATAGGGAAGAAGAAGGGATATCTAATCCAAGGAAGTTATTACTGCAAGAACTGTATGTTGTAAACTAGATGTGGGTACATTTAAGCCGGAGAGGGACAGTAGTAGTATTAATTAGGAGACAATCAAAACAGAGTGGTGGGTTCTGGTGTGCCGCCCACAAGGAGCAGTGGAGAGCAGAGTCCAACTGCTTCTGAAGTGGAGTTTATCGCAGAAAACACATCGTATCCCATTTATAACCCAGGAGGCTCCTTCTAGTAATCCGTTTGGACAGAAAATCTCCTGTTCTGAACAGACCTGCCTGTCTGTTTTTCAGGTGATGAGACAACTCTGTACAGGAATAGTTTTTCTCTGAAAACTAAAGCTGAAATGAGGCTTTTTGTGCCTGGTGGCAATCATACTCCTCTCTTGGCAACACACTCCTGTTGCTGCTCAATTTTCAGGCTTTCGATGACTCCAGATGAACAGAAGGATTTTTGGCGTAAAGTACAGTTCACGGTAGATAAAGACGTCGTGAGGACTGACCGCAGCAACCAGTTCTTTCGAGGGGAGGATAACCCAAATGTGGAAACTATGAGGTGAAGCGTCTGATTCTAGTGTCCCAAACGTGCCCTGCTGAATGTATAGAAAATTCG